CGTAAAACTTTATTTAGACGTAAAACTGCGTTTAGACGCAAACTGCACTACGCTCAGACGTAATCTGATCTTAGACGTAAACTGCGCTCAGATGCAAACTGCGCTTAAACGCAATCTGCGCTTAGACGCAAACTGCGCTTAGACGCAATCTGAGTTTAGACGTAAACTACGCTTAGACGCAAACTGCACTTAAACGCAATCTGAGCTTAGACGCAAACTGCGCTTAGATGCAAACTGCGCTTAGATGCAATCTGCATTTAGACGCAAACTGTAAACTGCATAAATTGCGCTTAGACGCAAACTGTGTTTAGACATAAACTGCACTTAATCATAAGTAATCTTAGAATTGGCTTTTGCATTAAAATAGTTTTTATCGAACGAACGCAGCTTTCGTTTTTAATCGCTGAAAGATTTCCGCTGCACTAATTCACCCCCCCCCCCCTCTTAGTGCTCTCGATCCTAACATATCTAACCTCTTCGATCTAACCCAATTATTTTTCAATCTAACCTTTTCTACTCATTATCTGTCATAGTTATGAGCTTTGCAATATCCCCTTGCAAATGTCCATACAAATTTTTACAATACAAGAGATCTTTCATTCTTGGTTTTCATATCATCCAATTGTTTCCGTTTAAGCTAATCATACGAGAAACACTACTGGCCTCTATGTTCGAATATAAAAATTAAATTCCACCAAAATCCTGCTCTAATACAAATTGATAGGATAAAAAAAAACTTTGTATATAAAACGAACAAATACTAGCAGGCCATAACACACAGCGGAATTAAACGAAAATCACAATCAAATAGGATACAAAAATTTACATGAAAAATTTCTCCAATGTGAAGGGTAAAATTCATGAGGTAAGCCAAAAGAAAATCTACTATAAAAATAAAGAACATACAAATCTCAAAGTTTTTTACCCAAAATCCAAACGACAATCACAAGAGAATAACAAGGATGCAAGATTTATGTCACTATGTATAATATCCAAAATCTCCCCAAGTAATCACAGTAAAAATTTATTATAAATATAATCTAACCTGAGGTGAAAATACTGCCTGAATGATTGAGAACAACCTCTGTGTTATCCTTGTCTTTTTTTCTTTTCTTCTTCTCTTATGCTTCTGCCCTCAACTGTTATTACTGTTTCTCCCTTTTTCTCGATCATTTTTACGATCATCACTACCCTCCATCCTAGTCGTCGGAAACCTATGTTTAAAATGGTTAAGGGTTAGATTAAAAAAACAGGATTGAATTATTAAAGCCCAGCTGAATAATGGGCTATCTGCCCATCAGCCCTGGCATGCGGGACGGCCGGCCATGGTGGACATGCGGCGGGTGGAGTCTTAGAGGCACATCGTCACCAACGTTGTGCAGCCGGAAACGGAGGCGGCGGCGTCGACGTACGGGCCACGGAGTACATCAATAAGGTTCGCGCCAAGAACCGTGCTGCCCATCCCGATGCTTCGCCTAATGTCATACCTCCACCTCCTATGCGCGCTAAGTACGCCACACGTTAGCGTATAGATCTCATGCATGTAACGAGGGACGGAGGATGTACTTGCTGCTCTTCTTCTGGTTTGTGACTGTTAATGGGGACTTGGGAGGGACGAGAAATGATTCGGGATCCCAAGATTCATAGTTACTAATGCTGTAGGTGTGGATGATTGGAACATAATTCGCCTCTTGGTTCCCTTACCTTTTGCTGTCCATGCCTGCCTTTGTGCATGTTCTGCTGTAGAATTCCAGGATGGCTGCAGTGGTCGCTGCACAAAAACACAAATTGATTTTTAAAGAGATTGAATGTCTTCTGTACTTAATGTCCTACTTGGACTTGAATAGATTTCACATGCATGCAAAGGTTCATTTATTGGTGCAAATCATTGGTAACTCTTGGAAGAATAATGTTGTTTTATTAGAGTAATGATTCTATATGTGACAGCATACTAGTCTCAATCAATAATATAGTTTTATGAATTTCAACCTAGTATAAAATTTGAAAAGAACATTTTGTTCATATCCTAAATTATTTTTTTAATATTAAGCTCACTATAAAATGATCACAGATCACAATAATCGAAGTCAGTTATTATTTATTAAAAAAAATTATTTTTTATTTTAAAATTAATTATATCATCGAAAAACTTTCATCCGGTCTTCATCTTTATATAGATCGATAATCAAATAAATATTCGAATCAAATCGATATCACCGTCATGTAATTTATATATAGTGGAAGTCACTCGAGGAAGGTGACAGTCTTCCGTCATGGTTCTCCTCCATCACTTTTATTTTTGTTATATATAGTATACAGTTAATGCTTGCATCAAGTGGTACTGCTACAACAGCATCAGTTCTCAGCTGTCTGTCTGTTGACCCTAATCATTGCCTCGAATTATGGCTTTCCCTGTGTGAAAGTTTGAAGTAACGTACTGGTCTCAGTTCCACGGGAGCACATCTTATCAAAGAAAGGAGTTGTTGCTTCCCAGCCTCAGCTAACCACGTATATATCTTAATGGCAAGAGAAGCCAATTGGAATTGTCGTCACAAAACAAGGGTTGTGTTTTCATTTTCTCTTCTTTTCACACAGTGATATGAGCTCTCATCACAGATGTATCTTCGTCACATTGTCTTGACAGCTTCCACTATGGTGGATTGCGAGTACAAGAACTATCAGACATCAGCTTTTTTTTTTTTTCTCTTCAGCTTGTTCTTCTTCTGGGATGCATGGTGATGGTCCACAGCATGCTTCTTCAGTGCGGTACGTGAGAAAAGCCAATATAAGCATCAAACTTATGCCAACAAACACAAGATGACAGGAAGAGAACACATTTTTGTATCTCCACCATCTTCTGCACCACCTCTCACAGCATGGAAAGCAAGCAATAATAGCAAAACAACAACAGCCCATCTCTCTCTCTCTCTCTCTCTCTCTCTCTCTCTCTCTCTTCACAGTTCATCAATTGACTTATGCCAACCCCTCCCCAAATCCTGTTCTCCCAACAGCTGCTCCAACCCCACCACCCACCTACAATTATCTACTATCTCATATTATATATATCCCCATCGGATGATGATCTCAGTATCCAAGAAAGAATTCAGCTGTTGATCTTTAAATCTTGTCTTCATGAGAAAGTGTTAGAAAAATATTTGTTAAATTCTTCCAAGTGATCTCATAGATGACACAAAGGCTTCTGAATCTCTTTTTCCATCATAAGTTTCTCATGAGATTATGAATTGGTCTTCATGTGACTATTCCCCAGAGTCTGCAACTTTGCTCTGAACTCTATCCTCATGCCTGTTATCATCTTTCTTTGCATGCTGAGTCAACTAAGAATATAGTATGTATTTATGAAACCAGTTGGAGAATTGAAGTTTCAGGAAGATGATCTCATAATAAAAAGCATCACATGTATATAGTGCTCCTCCTATTCCCACCTTGATGATATGAACCCATACTTTATTGACGTCAATGCTCGATACGTCTTCTGACAGCCTAGTCCACAGTTTCACCACCGGTACAAAACAAGGGTGAGTGAAGCTAAAGATATTATCTCTTACTGAGAATAAAAGTATCTGTCTTGGACTGCATAAATATATTTGGAAACCCATTCTTAAATTTACCTGTATTAATATAACCTATATTATTTTTTATACTTATTTAATTTTTACTATATTTGTTGTGTTTTTTGCTTTGCGTTTCTTGGGTGAACATGGAAAGGCTGTGTGTCAAGTTCTCGAGTCATGCGAGCGCAAGTGTAATGGGAAGATTTCGGCACTCAATAATAAATTTCATATTTAAGTGAAGTCGGACGTATTTACTAAAATATTATATATCCATTATCTAAGATCTTTCGGATTTGTGAAACCCAGACATATTTAAATATCCAAATAAATGTTAAAATATTGATTTTACCTCTATCAATGTTCTAAGAAGAATTATTTTTTTACTTTTTCGTATGAATTTTATAATTTTTATCAAATAAATAAATAAATATGATTGTGATAAAGATCCAGATTTATGATTTTAACAGTTTAATATATATATATATATATATATATATATATATATATATATATATAAAAGGTAAAAGGTAATGGCTTCACGTTCTCAACCTATCCATAAGTAGCCGTTAAAAGTTCAGCCACATATATATTTAAATTGCAGTGCTGAAGACAGCCAAGAAATTGAGATCCCATGCGCTGTCACACTCTCTTCACTTTGGTTAGGTTTTGGGCCTAAACATGACAGTGTAGCAGTCAAGCAAGTAATTAAATGCAAAAGAAAATCCCGCTTTTGTCATCTTCCTTTCCCCCTTCTTCTTCCTTACTCCTTAAATGCAAAAGAAAATCCTTTTTGTTTAAGGAAAAAGGCTTGGCCGACACTACTTTTGTGTTGGAAGGCAAGCATATGAGTCTCCTGCGCTGTCATGAGAGAGAAATGAGGAGGAGGAGGAGATTGTGAGAGGAGATGAGGCTTGCTTCCCGTTTCTTGGTGGGAATGGATCGTTCCCGCGCATCACTGGCGGCTCTTTTTGATCTTGCTCCTCTTCTCCTCCTCTCGACTACTCTAGTGGCCGTGACGGTGGAATCGGCCACCGACTCATTGGATGGTACGCTTTCCTTTGTCTGAGTTGTCGTAGATGTAGTCGGCAAAATCGACTCTCCATTGAGATGATCAAGGAATTGATTTGCAGTTCCAGCTCTTGGTGTGCTGTATGCTTCCTTGAATAGCCCGCGGCAGCTCTCCGGGTGGACGCGCAGCGGGGGTGATCCGTGTGGTACCTCGTGGTTGGGGGTTTCTTGCTCTGGTTCGGCGGTGGTTGCCATGTAATGGCTCCCGAGTCTCCTGTTTAGATACCTCCGTTTCTTCTCTTGTTCTTGTTTGGTGATCATGCTGCTTCCTGTGCCGCCGCAGCCATCTGTCGGGATTAGGGCTCAATGGTTCTCTGGGATACCTACTCTCGGATCTCTTGTCCTTGAAAACACTGTGAGAGATCTCACTCTATGTTCCGTTCCATCAACAACAACGTTCGCTCTTGAATCAAGAAATTTATGTGGTCTTTCCTTTTCATGTTTGTTTGTAGGGACTTGAGCAACAACAACATACATGAAACCATTCCATATCAATTACCGCCGAACCTAACCTATCTGTAATGTTTTTAGTGTTCTGGCACTTAGATTTCATTTCTTTTTCCCTGGGCCATTTTCACCATTGGTGAATTGACATGGTTTGCTTCCTTCAATTATGCAGGAATCTTGCCGGCAATGATCTTTCTGGGAATCTTCCATACTCTATATCTTCCATGGTTTCACTCAATTACCTGTAAGTTGCTTGTTGGGGTTCCATATGCATTGCAATTATGGAAATAATTTTCATACTGATGAGTATGTAAATTATATCAACTATAGGAATCTCAGCCATAACCTACTGTCTCAAACAGTTGGTGATATCTTCAGCGATCTTCAGGACCTCTCTGAGTTGTAAGATCTTTAACAATCTCGTTCGACAGTAGAATTTGATCGTGCTACTATTAGAATTTCTACCTTACCTACATCGTAAAGTACCAGAAGACCTGTTTATGATGGTTTGATGCTTATTAATTTTAATATGTTCCGTTATATTTATGCATTGATCATGTTCTTCAAGCATAGTGATCTAAGTAGGATATGCTGTCACCCAGGAAGACTATCATCCTTTAATGTCAAGTATGGTAGTTAAGAGTGGAGTAGAAACTAAAAAGTGTTCTTAATTAATCTACTGATTTTTCTTAGATGTACATTATGTAATATACTGGAAAAGAATAGCAAGTATAAAAGCTTCACTCTAAATTGTTGGACTGATGGATACTGAAGTGGCTACATGCTATAATCTTTGTACGTACCTCAACTTGCCAATAAACAGAGGAAAACAAGATGATAGGTGAACAAATATAGAATGTGATGAGAGATAAACCTTCTATATCTTAGCCTCTTATTGAAGCCTCAGTTACAGTTCTACCATGGAAGCACTCATTGTATAAATGTAACATCTCTAGGAAAAAATGGCTTAGCTTTTTGCTGAAGTAATAAGTTATACATATCTTTACCTCTTTTGATGTCTATATGGGGAAAAGGCCTCCTTCAAAATATTTAGTACAATAGGAATAGTTAAATCATTTTATTTAAAAACACATTCAGGATGGACCTATTGTTGTTGTAATGACCAATTCGAATGGTAAAAGCACACTCACATTCATGATTTCAGGCACGCGAGTGATAGAGATACATGACTGGGTCTCTATATGTATGTAGGACCAGCTTTCTTACCTTCTCATAAAGATGAATTATCCTGTCAATGTTTGTTATGTTTTGCATTGTATGTAAGTTTGAAGCTTGTAAGCAATTCATGACAGGGATTTGTCGTTCAACAGCTTCACGGGAGATCTTCCAAACTCTTTTGGTTCTCTGTCAAACCTTTCAAATCTGTGAGTGTACAAGATAATAGCTGCTTGTTTACATCTGCATTTTCTGCTGCCATATGTGAAACTCACTACCCTATAATCATTTTTCACTTCTCTGCAGTTATTTGCAGGACAATCAATTTATGGGCCCAGTAAATATTCTTGTGAATCTAGACCTAACTACTCTGTAAGTTACCCTGTACAAAGTCTTACTGACCATTTTCTATGGATAATCAATCTAACTCACTTTGTTTTTGTCAGAAATATTGCAAATAACCAGTTTAACGGCTGGATACCCCAGGAATTCAAATCAATCACAAATCTTGAGTGAGTAGAACTCTTCACGGGGGTAGAAAGAGGGTCTTGATTTTCATCAATGCAAGTCTTTGTTTCATCTTTCCTGATTTTATGCATGCAATTTCATACATAGAATTGGTGGTAATTCCTTTTCTCATGGTCCGGCTCCACCTCCACCTCCATACATGCCACCGCCTCCTGGTAGACTGCACAGGAGTCACAATAACACTCGGAACCCTTCACAGGGGTCTGGGGGTAAATCATCCGCTCCAGATCATGTACGCAACAAGAAGAGTTTGACTGCAGGTCTGCTGATAGGGATAGTCATAGGCTCAGCATTTGGTGCTTTGTGCATAATACTAGCTATTATATTATGCCTTCACAACATCCAGAAGTGTAAAAATGGCAATGTAAATAACAGGAATGACTCTGGAACATCTGCTGCTGTGGGTACAAATAAAGGTACTACTTTTTTTTTCATAAATTTGAGTTCTGGGCATTTCAATATCCTACATATCTGAAATATGCTAGTATTTGTTGTAAATAATTCATCATAGTATGTCACTAATTAGCCAAGATTGACATTGCATAAGAATCTGGATATTTATTTATTGATAACAAAATAGTTTCCTTTCTCTATTTTGTTTTTACATTTTGAGATAATATTAAGTAAAACATAGTTGCTGTTTAGTTCTAATAGTCAAAAAGTTTTATAACGGCTTGTTTATGCATACTATTAGGACAAGAAGCTTTCATGCTAAATCCTATGCTATTTTAGTACATGATTACATTGGGTTTCTGCAATTATATATCAGAATAAATGGTGAAAGTTTTAAAGAGGGTGATCATGAAGACCAACCTTTAAGTTGTTTTCATGCCAAGAAATTCCAGAAAAATTATAGCAGCAGGTGCAAAGTGTAGGCTCCTCTTCTTTATGGAAGTAATTAGTGTGGTATCTGAATGCAAACTGTGACAAAACTATATCCAAAAGTTTATAAATCAGTTGGAACAAACGAGGTTGACCAAACCAGAACAAGCCATTAGGCGGCTTCAGCCATAAATGATTATTAATAAATATAAAAGCAAAAAATGAAAATATTGTAACATGATAAATATTTTTTGGAACAGGAGATAGTGCAACTTTAATAAAAAGTATAGGGAAACAAGTAGTTCTGGTTATGATAGGATTATATTGTTGACTAGTTATTATTAGGACCGAAATCGGGCACTAAGAGGGGAGGGGGGGGTGAATTAGTGATTTTAGGAAAACGACGTCGATTCGGAAAACTTCAATGATTTGGAAAAGCTTGATTCGATGAAACCGTATCGAAAATGATATCAAAGTGTGCTTGACTTAGAGTAAATATAATAAGTAGTTAAAGCAGAAAAATAATAGTAATGAAGAGCAGAAAGAAGATGCACACCAAATTTATAGTGGTTCGGTCGTCATGACCTACGTCCACTCTCGATTCCTCCTCCGTTAAGGCCATCAGTGTCCACTAACTGTCTTCTTTCAATGGGCGAAGACCAACTATCCTCTTACAACTCTTTTCTCTTTTTCACATGTTTAGAAGACAACCTTTACAATTCACTCACCCTTCTCTCAAACTAAATTCAAAACTTAGAGCTAGAGAAAGGGAACTTTTAGGAATTACAACAGCGTTTCACACTAATTTTCGTTCAAGATGTTCTATATATTGAACAGGGATGAGTGAGTTATTTATAGACCCCAAATGACTTAAAAAATGGAGCCAAAAAATATCTTATCCCGGGTTCTCGGGGTACTGGCAGTACCACTGCTTGCAGACTAACACTGGACGGTACCACTGCCTGATAAAGCCTGGAAACTGGGCTCTGGCGGCACCATTGCCTGGCAACATTAACTGCCGACGGTACCATCTCTTAGACTCCCTAAGAGGCCGAGCCTTTGGCGGTTCCACCGTTAGCTCTGGCGATGCTATCGCCTGACGTGGCACCAGGTCATTGAATGGGCCATCCATTCAGCCCAAATCAGCCCTCATTCGGGCCCAGTTGGCCCCTAATTGAGTTAGTAGGATTTCTCTCAAAACTTACTCAAATTGAAACCTTAACTACGATAATTAAGGCTAAACAATTACAATGCAAGCAATCCTAGTTGTCCAGCACGTTAATTGTTCATCCGAACTCCCGGCAAAACTTCCAGTGCACTCCCGGCGATCTTTCGGCGAGCTTTCGGCGAACTCCCGGTGAGCTTTTGACGCATCGTTTGAACCTTCGGCGTATCCCCCGATTCCTCTGGCTCAATGCTCGATCTTTGACTTTGGCCCAACATTCAATTCTTCTTTAATTGTTTTGTCTTTTCACGATCGTAGTTAGTCCTGTATCACTTTTCTCAACACATGGATTAAATCATTAATTTATCAATTGATTTCATCATCAAAATCCGAGATTCAACAGTTATAAGCTCTTTCCTAAACATTCATGTGCAATACAATTTACTTTAAATCATTTGGATTCTATCTCATGGCAGATGACAATGCATCAATTCATTATAGTGCATAAGATTAATGACTAAGAGAAATTTAGTGGATAACATTGACTGATGAAATTGTAGACTGCTCTGGAACATTAATGCATAGTCTGTCAAAGTTTGTGTGCTTAACACCATACAATGTAGATCCACCAAATTTTTGCCAAATTCACATGGGAAAATATGTTGCTCTCCTTTTACTGTTCTGGATTCAAATCTCCATAAACCTTGCACAATAAGTATACATTTTTAACTGTGTTGGTTCATCAGGGTTCAGTGCAAGCGTGTTAAGGAGCAGTTTCATTGGCTTTCATATTATATTCTTTCTTTGTTCAGATTTTTGAAATTACATGTTATACTTGGCAATCAATATAACCATATAATTAAAGAAGTTTTTCGCCTTTCTACATGATATTATCAGTGACAAAGAAGGAGATGCAAGAGCAGAGGCTGAAAAGTTCTTCCATAACTAGTCCGAAACCTCCTACTGATACAGTGATGGTTGAGAAGTTACATGGGAAGAATATGGCTGCAAAGCCATCAAAAGTCCCTATAACTGCAACATCATATACTGTTGCTTCTCTTCAGATTGCAACAAATAGCTTTAGTCAGGATTGTCTTGTTGGTGAAGGTTCTTTTGGTCGGGTTTACAGAGCAGAGTTCCCGAATGGAAAGGTAATCTTTGATCACCTTCATTAACTATTATATCTTGTTTGGGTTTATAGTTCTCTGCAGTAAGAGATACTTATCAATAGCCTATAGAAAACCTCATGCATTGTAATACAATTGTTCAAATGAAAAATATGTCAAAGTGGGAAGATGAGAATATGCCTCCTGTGCTTCATGCATATGGTGAACTCGAAAATAGAAGAAGTCTTAAATGCTGTTCTATCACATGTCCATCTCGATCAATGTGATTGCCTATTTTCATGATTGGAGTAGCTGATGTGCTGTTATTTCTAGTTTCCAGTAAGTTTGATAATGTTACTATTAACCTATGCAATAAGTAGCTGCTTTTGATAGTTCAACATTCCAAATTTCACTTTCCCCTTTTTCTTCCCCTCCCCCATCCCTCTTAACTGAAATTACTTGCAGATCTGGTTGATTAGCTTAGTATAATCATCAAACTTCCATGTCAGTGGAGAAGCTTCAAGGGCATCTTGCTAATAACTTTGACAGTATGTTATATTTAAACAGTTGCAGACATGACATCAGTTTGTTGCCTCTCCCAGATTTTGGCTGTTAAAAAGATTGACAGTGCAGCAGTATCCTTACAAGAAGAGGATAGTTTTCTTGAGGCTATTTCAAATATGTCAAGATTTAGGCATCCAAATATCGTGACACTTTCAGGATACTGTGTCGAACATGGGCAGCGGCTTTTGGTTTATGAGTATATTGGTAACGGGACTCTGCATGATATGTTGCACTTTGCTAATGACAGTAGCAATACTTTATCATGGAATGCACGAGTGAGAGTGGCACTTGGCGTTGCTAGGGCTCTGGAGTAAGTGCTGTGCTTGGTTCAGTATTCTGTGTAATATATGTTCCTACCGGAAAATTAAATGTATTTTGACTTCACAGGTATCTGCATGAAGTGTGCTTGCCTTCTGTAGTACATAGAAACTTGAAGTCTGCAAACATACTACTTGATGAAGAGCTTAATCCTCGCTTATCAGACTGTGGATTAGCTGCATTAACACCAAGTACAGAAAGAAAGGTAAGTGACAACAAATTAGTCATATACCAATGAGATTGGCTATGAAATATCTCTCTCTAAATTGTCACTTGCCTTTTCACTTGATAGGTTTCGACAGAGGTAGTTGGCTCCTTTGGTTATAGTGCTCCAGAATTTGCATTGTCTGGAGTGTATACTGTAAAGAGTGATGTTTATAGCTTCGGAGTAGTGATGTTGGAGCTACTGACTGGTCAGAAGCCACTGGACAGGTCTATCTTGCTTGCCTCATAATTTCATACGATTTTTCACATGCTTATTTGATTTTGTTGACTTCAGAAAGTAACTGTCTAATTTTCGAATCGCTCATATACTTATTTGGTCTGTCAATATCGGATATGAAATGTCTACTTTCCATTTGCTTGCTTCTTTCAGTTCTAGAGTTAGATCAGAACAGTCCCTTGTCAGATGGGCTACCCCTCAACTCCATGATATTGATGCATTATCTAAGATGGTTGATGCAGCGTTGAATGGAATGTATCCTGCAAAATCCCTTTCGCGTTTTGCTGACATAATTGCACTATGTGTTCAGGTACTTCATCTTATTTTTCCTTTCCTATTTGTCCTTTTAGCACCAAGAAACTTCTGCTGCATGTTTTATGCTTGAGCAACATTCACATGGGGAGCTCCAGATTGTGATATTGTCTGTTCTGCTATCAGCATGTAGATGCTTAGGGCTTTTTTTTTTTTTTTTTTCCGAGACTTAGACTTTGATCACGCTCTTAACAGGAGAGTTTGTGGTGCTATTATTTCCTGATAAATGCTCTGACATTGATTTCATCAGGAACAATCAAACTTTCATTATATAAATCATTGACAAAATATCCAATAGTCCAGATAATCACACACCTGTATAATCTGAGTGTCTTGCACTTTGCAATGTTCAGTTTTGCAGCTAATCAAGAAGCCCAATCTCACTGCTCACTGAAATCTAAACATTCTCATTCTAATGTGTAATTTCTTTTAATTATTCATGCAGTTTACATGTAACTTATTGGTTATAAAATCATCTATGGTTTCTTACAAAAACTTGTTCTTCGGAATCATTATTACTCCCACATTTTTTGACAATCTGAGTACAATTAGCAGACTACGCATATTACATGACCCAAGAGATCAAATTCAGGTATATGTTTGACATCTTTTTGACTCGATACTTTTAAGATCAGTTTTATAAACCAAGCGAAAGCACACACCAACATTTATGACTTTACATAGTCGAAAGCATTAGGGAACAGGAGGTCAAAAGACAACCCAATATGCTTATAATAGTGGGATCAGAAAATGGAAGCATAAACAGAACCTGGTGCTTCATTTTTTTGCAAACCCTTATCGCTTCTCTAAAAGATATGTCATGCATATTCAATTAATTATATATTACTATCTGATTTTTCTTGATCCGGAAAGATGAAACAGCTACTTCTATCATTTACAGAGGCCATTTTGCAGTTATGTTCTTGTGATCTAGACATGCATTTTCATTTCTTCTGGCCTCAAGCTTTAAAGATACTTGTAACTCATGTTCTTGTGATCTAGATATGCATTTTCATTTCTTCTGGCGTTGAGCTTTAAAGATACTTATAACTCTCAAGAGCCTGAACCTAATGTGCTATCAAATTCTACAGCCGGAGCCAGAATTCCGACCTCCGATGTCTGAAGTGGTGCAAGAACTAGTTCGTTTGGTGCAAAGGGCAAGTGCGGTCAGAAGGCGATCCGGAGAAGAGATTGGGTTCTCATATAGGGTGATGGAGCAGGATGCTAGCATGACCGACATATCGTTCTGAATGAATAATTCTTTCATGCCACGATCCAGGTTTCTTCTTTTCGGCACGTACGGAAAGCACAAATTTGAAGGGGGAAAAAAAATGCAGTTTGGCAACAATAAATCTTGTGGCCGGGAACTGTTATGCCCATGAACTACTTAAGTAGCTTAGTTCATGGGCATCTCAGTAAAATGAAAGAAAGATTTCACCTCAATTTCCATCTACATGCTGAAGACATCTTTTCTTTTTCCCTTTTTGGTTTGTGACTAACGCTCCATCTATGCCATGTACATGTATTATGTCAGAGTACATTCATCTAATAACAAAAAGAAATAGGTTTTCAGAAGCATGTGTGCTTATCACGATGGAAATCCAATAAAGGGAAATCGTCGTCGAGGCATAATTTTGAAACATCAATTAAGGCGAGGATCGTAGCACTAATCACCGCCTCAGGGAATATACCGACACCTGTGCCTCGTCAGCTTGATATGATATCCCGACACCAACTCAGGTCCCTTATCAGATTGACAAGATGGCCGCGTAAATCACCTGACACACGATACACAACAGTGCGGACTCACTCACGTTTCAGCCTGACAGTCACTTATCCTTTGTGCCAAAACAAAACAAAAAAACAAGGAGTCCAACGATCACACGTAATCTGGCTCCTGCTATTACAACCTCTAATCATAACATCTTTCTGCGTCCTTTAATACTTTCAAATACTCAACCACCTACCTATATTCAAATCTATTTTCGTTAGATCGAGGGCTCAAAGTCTTTTCATTTTCCTTTTTGCCCTCCATAGAACTTTAACTTCTCCTGAATGGGATCTGATGCGTCCGAGTGAAGAAAGAGAGAAAAAAATTCGACCGAACAGGAACACGAGAACCATTGCTGTTGTTGCTAGTTAACCACATACCAGATTTGAGTGGCTTACGGCACATTCTCTCTTTAGTCTCCATTGGACGAACCAAAATGATTAACGAGCCTCCTTCTGCTTCATCATCGTAGGCTATCATCTATGTGATGCAATGAGGTTGATATGCAACAAAGAACAGGTTTAACCAAGTAATTTGGATAAGCAGTACCTGTAAACTCCGTGACCGTTTGGCGGAAGCAGGATATATATATATATATATATATATAT